TTGGTTTTCCACTTGGGGTGCTCAGGTGACCAATTTTCTTGAAAATTGATGAAAACTTTTTCCCACCATTTTGGTCGGAATTAGTTTTCTAGTTTCTTTTTTTTGACAATTAGAAAAAATTCTAGACGCAATGGTAAAAAAATTTCACTTTTGTTGACAATTTCCATGGAAAACAAAGTGAAACGAATTGTATTCGGTATGGTAATCTTTTTTTTTCAAAATTTTTTGGACAATTAGAACAAATTCTAGATCAAATGATAGGAAAAATTATGACTTTAATAAACAATTTCTATAAAAAAACGAAGCTAAATAGAACCAAACTTTCAATATTTTTCAGGTGGAAAATTATACCAATCAAATACAATTAATTATAATTCCCGGTAAAACAATTTCTATGCAATTTAATTTCCTGTAAAAAAAAAAAATTTTTCTACACATTTTTCATCTTTGCAATCAAACGAAAGCTTGACATCTTTTAACATGAAATTTATCATAACCATTGATTTTTACATCATCCTTTTACATCGACGGTTAGATTTTTGACATATGGGGAGATAAAAAGAAAGTCAACAAGAATGACAAGTAGTTTAATTGATTATCCACTGGCACACTCCAAAAATATCCAACATTTATATTACGTGCCCGTTGTTAGAGATTAAAATCTAAATTTTAATTAAAATTAAAGTCAATAATTTATTTTAATCACATATTTTATAAAATTCGTAACTTTTTAATTACATATTTTATTAAATTTTATCAAAATGTACTCAAAATCTGATTTTAAGTAAAGGGCTAAGAGCTTGTTTGCTACTGATTTTAATCCAATTAAAATTAAAAATGTAGTCGTTTGGGTCCCACCCTTCTAATAAAAGTCAACAATAACGGCTAGTTTTTCAATTTTAATCCAATTTTAATCTTTACCAAACAAGCTCTAAATGATTTCTGCCAAAATGGATTATTCATATTGTCCAGAGTGGTTTCACAATGTTTTATTTTTTTTTTACCATATGCATTAAAGATCCTTAATCTATCATATTTGTCATACCTATGCAACAATTTTTTTTTTTATTTTTAAAATCACATTTATATTATCGTCATTTTATTAATTAGCTCATCTTATATATGATGATACGCATTCCAAAAAGTTGGATATGATTGCACAAAATAACTTACTTGCCCATTACACTGTTAATTGAGAGAAAATAAAACTAATACAATGGTGCGACTACATATTTGCTCCAACTTCAAATCATGTTATTAGGCTATTTGGATGTAAACTATCATCAGACTAGATATCCTACTTTTGAGTGTCATCAGACTAGATATCCTAATTTTTCTTATTCACAAATTTTAATACAATATCCTACTTTTGAGTGTCATTAGACTTTCATAGATGTAATATCTTGGTGTTACTAAGATATCTGAAATTCGATTTATGCCATTAAGGTGTGATTTTTGAGTTTTGAGTTGAAATTTAGCATATAATCTCACACTATACATAATATTGAGTTTACTTGCTATTAAGTAAAGAATAAATTTGATCATAACTCGATATTTTGTAATGTTTATGGAAGTACCTCGATCATCTTTGTCCATTTTAATTGATGAGCTCATATGAGTGTTCATATCTTGGATCTTCCTTATTTAGGTCTTGAATTGTCTTTTGTTCGAAAGGAGTTTCAGATACTACATCATTAGTAATACATTTCTCATGATCAAGAATGTTAGTTTCAT